TAAATTATTTTTTTTGCAGTAAAACCCCAAAACGGGGCCTTACCTATGAATTAAATCACAGTAGTGAAAACCCAATCATAAATATGTGTTTTTATGCTGTTGAATTCAGAACCGGTTTCATGAGCAAAATTCCACGACCCGGCTCAGTTTTCAACGGATTAGGGTCTAAATTCAACACCTTCGGTCTCAGTATTCAACGTTGAAAAATGACCCCAGGGTCAATTTTCAACGCGGGTCAAAATTCAACGTTACACTGTCTCCACACCCCGCAGTGGGATTCGAACCCGCGACGTACGGATTGACTCCTTACTTCTCATAGAATAGGAAAATACTATGACGATGGTTATTTGAGATTAATTTTTATCTGAATAAGTATTTCCTAAAATGTAGCAGTTGATTCTTAAAATGTTGTTAATGCTTATGTCTATTTAAATTAAAAAAAAATTTGTTCAGCATTAAAAGGGAATTGTCGTGGGTCTTTTGCTTATGTATGTAATGTTTTGAAATACTAGTAAGATTGATAAATGTTGTTGTATCCTTATAAATATATAGGTTCTTTTGACTTTAACAATACACTACCCTTCTCAAAAATATGATCAGCTTAATTTCTGACCGTTACTTACACGTACATGTATCATTATATATTTGAGATTAAAACTCATACACCATTAAGCTAAATTAATTAGATAGAACATTAATAAAACTATTCTAAACTTATATCCCACGTTAATACTATAACGATTCTATACAATAACTTATTCATAACAGGATGCCCGCGTCGTAGATATGTCAATGATTGTACTCCATGTGATACGTGTTAAGCTGAATGCGACGTAACGGGGCGGTGTGATATGCTCGGTTGTAAAGAAGGGTATCATCCACCATTTTGCAAAGGTAACTTTTCATTCATTGTATGAATTAAGAAATAAAACTTATGGGTTATTTTTTTTAATAATTACATAGAGTTGGAGATTGCGCTCTACGATTTGTACTATTTACCTCCCCCCCCCCCCCTCAAGAAAGATTATTATTATTTTTAATACAAATGTCACATTCGTTATTTTCTTTTCTTTAGTGAATGTCAGTCTAATAAATGAATATTTGCAGTGAACAGTCTCATGAACAAAAATCATCAATAAACACAAAAGAATTTAATTTTTTTTCAGCTCACTAATTGTTTTCCCATGAATTGATTACGTTAACATTTCTTCTCAAAGCAATGTCCTTTCTTCTCGTTCAGCAGTGGGTGACCCAACAAATAAACGCTAAAGTTGTCTTTCCGTGGTTAAAATCTGGCATGTCAGATTTGTTTTGCGGCAAAATGCGTCCATCCGTATTAACCTCTGAAAATGAAAGTGAAAGTAGGAAATTCAAGACTTTTCACGGACATTATAATATATAAAACAATTCTGTTGATCATCTTGAAAAATTATAAGTCATTTGTCAAAGGAAAAAAAAAACTCGTTATCAATACGTATGACGCTCAATTAAGTACATTATAATGCATGTATTAAAGCCATATATGGCGTATGTACAATGAAAATTATTAGACTAAAATTATAAGAACTTATCATTTGTATGATTACTTTATATAAAGATAGAACTTTTCCGTAAATTACAAAATCTAAGTCAGTTGCATTATAAAGATATCACAATTCAATTTGGATTCTCGGAATTTTTTCCGGCTCGGAAGAAAATACAAAAGATTTAAATAACACATTATAGAGAAGATATAATTGTATTATTAGGTGAAACGAGGTGTTCTCCGTGTTCAGAATTGTATGAAAAGCTTTAATTTAGATGTATTAACTATATTTCTTTCACTTAATTTTGTATTTTTCAAAAATATATTTTTTGATCAGTTACGCCATATATAGCTTTAATTATACTCAAGTCTGCAGTTGAAGGATCTTGTAAGGTGAATTTTATAATGCATCACTTATCTATCAAATATTGCTTGTAGGGAAGACTTCTGTTGATTTGTTTACATATAGTCCTATTGTGCATGCACACAATTTAGAATCTCCATTAACATTCCTGCGCTTTTCATATATTGCAACACTAAGTCTAAAGTATCTCAACTTAAACTTCTAGATTGCTGGAGTAATTGTATTTGCATTGAAATATACTGTATTCAATGAGTCACGAAAATCTACTAATAATGGATTTTGCAATAATTTATTATCTAACAGTTGGTTTTGTCTAAAATTTGACACGAGTTAACATAAAGTAGCATGGCATTTTTATGTATCAATTTATTTGATACTACTATATACTGACATATTCCTACCTATTATCATTAATGCAAGACATATTGTCAGTTTATTAGTAATATTTAAGTTTTGACCAGGTGCCTTTTTTAATTAACACACCTTACAGCAAATTTAAGCTGTGTTTGACAGTATTTTATGCAACTTTTGTTCACAAGCTTGCAAATTCTTAACAACTAAACCTCAATAAACAGTTAATCTGACTCATTAGTTATTGCTAAATATGCATAAATGTTCGCTTTACTCTCAGTTGTGTGAGTAGATCAATATCGTTTCCAAATCACAAGTTCAAAATATGGCAACAAATTTCATAGATTCAATCACTCATTGACTAATTGCATGCATCGCAATTGAAGATTTTGTGTTGATTGTTTTCCCCTTCCCCAACATATTTGTTCAGCATACATTACTAGATTTTTTCTTAATAATGGAAAAAAAATGTTTGAACTAAGAAGGGACACATGACATTTACTTAACATAGCGAAGACGGGGAACGTTCCGCTTAACCTTCATCATAATCAATATGCACATCGTCATCTTAGCTTGTACCCTGAAATCGTCAGGACCGTTTTTATAAAATTTATCGAACGTTATAAATCCATATAGCCTTTATGTGTTTAAATACACCTGAAGATACCATCCTTTCTTATTTTCTATTCTTGAAAAATTAAATGTTTTTCTTTCTCTCGACATGGTGACAAAAAACTGCAGTAGTATGTAATTATAAAACAGTGAACTGAAATTTGGAGGTTAAGTGGAGGTTTATTGAACGTTAAAAAAAATCAAAGGTCTACAATTAGCAACCTGTCCATACCCTGCAGTAACAACTTTATCTGACTGAAGGTTACAGTTTCATCTTTTAAATATTTTTGTAGTATGTATTCCTGGGAGATTTGGCAAAGATTGCAAAGAGGTATGTGGTTACTGTGAAAGAAAAGAGCCATGTAATCATATCACTGGATCCTGTCCTGGACTGTGTGGACCCGGATATTATGGAGAAAAATGTCTGACACGTAAGAAAAACATTGCCTTAAAATCCTTTAACAACCCCCCCCCTTCCCCCCCCCCTCAAAAAAGGTTTATAGACTGCTTATTCCAACTGATCATGAGTTTACACCTCTGTGTGGTTCAATTGGTCCTCATTTATTTAACATAATTATGTGCAAGCAAAATAAATTTTGAATTAATGAAAGTTTCTTAATGTACTTAATTTTCTAATTAGAAAAACAATCTTGATCATTTTTTTAAAATCTTAAACTAGTATTTTTCCGTATTACGTTTCAACGAAAAGAGAGAGAGAGAGAGAGAGAGAGAGAGAGAGATTTATATAGTGTTAGTAAAACAATGTATTGCTAGTTTAATCAAATTCAATAATCAGGGTCTATAGAAAAATATATAATTATGAATTCGATATAACTTTGAAGAAATTCGGTATATAAAACTGCAGTTTGAAACATTTTATTCTAGACTAGCGAAATTATTTTTAAGAATTGATTCTGTACACTTTTAGGGGCAGTATTTCCTTCAACTGTCCTTAACATAAATATGTATTCTTTAGTATTCAAAGAAACATTCAGATATATGAAAGGACACCGTACTTTGGGTGAAAATAGTACTGTTTTTTACAGCATGTCGTGGTGGTTTTTACGGCAAGAACTGTAGTCGTAGCTGTGGACATTGTTTGAACAAAGTAAGCTGAAATCACGTGACAGGTCATTGTCCAGATGAACTATGTGAACCAGGATATGAAAAAAAGAAATGTAATGAGGGTAAATATTGTGATACATGTAGATACTACCTGTGACAATCAAAATAAATTATTAGGAAAAAATGTGTTTTTAATCCATTTTTTTCAGAATGTGATGACGGGTATTTTGGCAATAACTGTAAAGAAGAATGTGGTCACTGTGCAGGTGAAATGCCGTGCAATAAAACTGACGGTACTTGTCCAGGAGAATGTGCAGATGGATGGATAACACCCCGCTGCAATGAAAGTAAATGAAATTTGGAAGTTCACTGACAGAGGTCTACAATTAGCAACCTGTCCATACCCTGCAGTAATAAATTTATCTGATTGAATGTTACAGTTTCATCTTTCAAATATTTTTGCAGTATGTAGTCCTGGAAGATATGGCAAAGATTGCAAAGAGGTATGTGGTTACTGTGAAAGAAATGAGCCATGTAATCATATCACTGGATCCTGTCCTGGATTGTGTGAACCCGGATATTATGGAGAAAAATGTCTCACACGTAAGAAAAACATTGCCTTAAAATCCTTTAACACCCCCACCACCACCACCACCTTCGAAAAAGGTTTATAGACTGCTTATTCCAACTGATCCTGGTACAAGTCATATAAATTTAATACCTGTTGATTTTGAATGTGATTTGACATTTTTGGTACTTTTTAGCGCGTATTTGGGATAGAACAATAATCTTTTAAAATAATCTATTTTTAGCATTTAACACTGTTTTTGCACGTGCTTTCGGACAAAGGTCACCCCTTAACTTTCTTTTTGTAGAATCTTCTGCTTATCCATTTTTTTTTTAAAATCTATTCGACTATTTCTCTCTGATCAACTTTACTTTTGGATGTTTAAATATTTGAATTCTTGAATCGTGCTAGCGTAAACTATACGTAATGCCCAAGAGGTGATTCGAAATTTCTTGACTTAATTGCAAAAGAGTCAGTTTGATTATTTGCTAGGTAATTTCAATACGAGGTACATTGTGTATAACTCTTTGAATTTGTTTCTACATTTCGAAATGAAGAGCAATTTCTTTTTACATTATTTGCATTTCTTAGGTGTATTCAGGAATTCAGTAGAAAGAAATGCGCTGTTCTGCTTATTAATAATATCATTATGCATGTATTCTGCATAAGTAGTGTTTTTGTCAATAAACTGCTAAAAAGGTCATTTCTAAATAATTTTGATAAATTATTAACTTTCAATTTGTATATATATGTATATATATATAAAAAAAACAGTGAAGGTCTATTGTACTTATGATTTTAAAAAAATCAGATGATAAAAAGAGTAATACGTAAAATTTGACAAAATAATGAAACAGTAAAGATACTGAAACAATGGGAACTGTTCTATATGCCCTGGAATCAATTGGACTTCCATATATATTCTGCATAATAAGCGTTTTTGTCTTTAAAATGTTAAAAAATGTCATTTCCTTATAAAAAAAAAAATCCATGTTTTCATTCATGGAAACCGCTATGAAATCATTTGTCTGAAAACTATCAACTTCTTAGATCTAAAAGCAAGTTTTTGATCCCAGATATGTCTTTTGTAGCATGTACGTTTGGAAGGTATGGCGAAGGCTGTAAGGGAATATGTGGTCACTGTGAAAGCAATAAAACTTGTAATTATGTCAATGGATCCTGTTCCGGGCTATGTGAACCTGGATATCATGGGGAGAACTGCCTAACAAGTAAGATATTAATAAATCAAGAATACTAAGATACGTAATTCAGCTAGGTGACTCTTCTTTTTCTAATTACTTATACGTATTTTAGCAAAAATGAATAAAAGTTAATGAATACTCATGATAAACGGGGTCATTTATAAGTACAAAGACATGTCTTTCTTCATTTATAACCGTTTCGAATTAAATCGTCATGATTTGAAAAAAAAAATCTGATTTGTATAGTTTCAGTTTTCATTTAAATTCAGAACCAACTTTTTAAGCTAAATATAGTTATCAAAATAGTTAAATTTAATACTTTTTGGTAAGGGTATAAAATAAATTCTTTGAATTTTAAATATGATTTTTATTGTAACTTAAATATTTATTTTACGCTCTATGTAATCTATAGAAGCCCATTTACGACCTCTAAAATATTTTTGAAATTCGATAAAACGAATTGTCGAATTTGTTCAAACGAATTTAATTAAGTTTAGCAATTTCTTTGAATTCCTTATTAGGATTTTAATATGCTATAGCAAAATTGTTGAATTCATTATAACAATTTCTTTAATTTATTATTATGAATTAAATCCATTTTAATAAATTCTGAAGTCTGTTATAACAAATAAATTCGTTAAAGCAAATTTCAAATGTCTGTTATAACGAATAAAATTAGTTTAATCAAATTCAATTATCAGGGTCTATAGAAAATTATATAATTATGAATTCGATATTACGATTCATTTTAGCGAATTTAATTCATTATAACAAATAATAGTATTCGTTTGAACGAATTCAATTCGCTATAACAAGTTTTAGACTCCGTTTAAACGAGTTAAATTCGTATTTAAAAAAAATTGAATTCGTTCTAACGAAATTGTTAGACATTAAATTATTAAATTCGTTATAACAAATTTGACAGTTTTTTTTATATCGAATTCAAAAATATTTTCCGATAGGTCCTAAATAAGCTTCCGAAGTTATGTTATTGTATTACATATAAAGATGTACAGATCAAAAGTTTCCTTATGCTCCTTTTATTTTTATTAGAATGCAAGGATGGCTGGTTTGGCAAAGAATGTAAAGAACGTTGTGGTTACTGTAGAGGTAACAAACCATGCCATCACGTGACCGAATCTTGTTCTGGATTATGTGAAGCTGGATTCCATGGGGAGAATTGTGAAAACGGTGTATCGTATCAAATTCTTGCTGGCGTGAGGGAATTGCTTAATTTAATGACGGAGCTAATTTCACACCGAAGACGAAAAAGTGACCTGAAAGAAAAAGGCACATCTCCAACTGATTTTAAATAAGGGACAGACACGCTCTTTGTCGTAACAAAACTTTTATTGTCAGATTTTATTACAATTATCTGTTTTTATCTGTCCGTGCAAAGGACGTTTTAACCCCTCTCACATGTTTGGGTATCCAGCATTGATATTTTGCATGTATAGAGTATCACTTGCAGGGCTTGCTCTGGTATTCCATTTTTTAAAGAAAGTTATGGTTCAGCGTTTCTGAGCTAAGGTATTTCATAATTTCATGTTAGTTATTTGCAGTGTAAAATATAATTCATTTTTCCTAAAACATCCAGTAGCCGCATTTCTCATCATGTTAGCATGTTTTGTTTTTTTTTCATTTAATACGATATCTATGTTTAGTAACATGTATCTGAATATTTCAAAAACTCTTATCCAAGACATGTTCATAATGATCTGATAATAAAGTATATTTGTTTGAAACCACTAGAGCTTGTAAGTAAAACCTGTGTGTATATGTTAAAGCAAGTTCCAGCCATACGTCAAAGTTGGTGGACAGCAGTGAGGATACCCAGTGTATATCGCCCTTGGAGTGTAGTATGTAGATCACCCTTGAAACCTATAGTCCTTGAATTACACGAATACTGCAGATTTGAAGATTATAATGTCCATATGTCTGAAATTGAAAATGAAGCAAACCATCTTAATAGATTTACAAATTGGCACAAAAAGAAGACTTTTGAAAATATATAAATATAAAAAATAGGCTTAAAGTACGTAACTTAAACAAAATTGTGATTAAATGTGACCATGTTTCTATATTAATTGTTCCTCTTACGTTTATACAGGATCAGTTATGAGAAAGCTGCATCTCATGTTTCAGTTTCGAAGCAGTAAAAGACTGTAAATTACATAAAATATAAACAAGATGTGCCGGGCGGCAACAAAGTTCCAAAAACTATTTTTATAGCATATTGGTCACAGTCAAGATTACAAGGTCATTGACCTTGGTGCTATTTGAAAGAACGTAAGTAGTGGAGTATGTACATCAAACACGAAGTCTCTATCTCTCATGATTCAAAAGTTATTGTAGCAAAGGTTAAAGTTGACATCAGACAGACAAACAGATAAACAGACAAACAGACAGGACAAAAACAAAATACGCCTCGGATATATCGATCCAGGCGCATGAAAATTACATTCGCAATGACTGATTTAAAATGTTTGACTCAGTTAAGTTTCATTTATGTCCAAATTGAGTGTCTTTACGTTTTACTTTTGACAGCAATCATTTAAAAAGCAATAAGCAATAAACAAAAATGTAATAATAAGTCAGCAATAAATCGACAAATCCTTATAAAATTACATATACAAGCATTACATACAGTAACTAGATACATGTAGTATTAATCTCAGAAAATGATCTTCAAATGAACAGAACAAAAGTTAAAGTGTACATTGTTGATTCGGAGAAATTACAAGATTCTCGTGTAAAATTTTGGCCCTCTTTTGTGGCCGAATTACAATATACTAAGGCACCAACATTTGTATAAACTTACATCTGCACTGCCTTGGGATATAAACTATTTTTCTTAATGATTTCCTATTTTGGCGAAACCCTAGCCCTTGGTCATGATATGTGTAAATTTGAATCTGCCATGTGTCAAGAATATTTCCTACAGTTTTATCTATAATGTATATTTATGTTCTCCAGTGTAATTTAACTAATTTTACAAGTTCACTGAAGCTAGTTTTTTGCACACACTTCTAAATTTATGTAGACCATATCACATCCATATTAAAGTAACGCAAACACAAAGTTTGATGGATGAATTTGTCATTTATTATACATGTATAAATGACGACAGATAATGAAAAGATACATCAGATAAAGGGGAGATCACTCTTGAAAAAATGTGAAAATTTGTACAAAACATTAGTTGATCTCCCCAGTGTAACATAGTACATGTAGAAAATCCAAATAAACAATCCAGAATGTAAAAAATAACAACCAGCAAAAAAGGTGGCAGACAAAAACTGCCTTGACAGATAAACAACTGCCAAAATAAAATCATATTAAAATATATAAACAAATATGATTTTAAAACATTTTTATCCATTAACCCTTTACATTGCATATTGATTTAGCAGTATGGCATAAAGGTGGAATAATGATCGGGGTGGATGGTGGGCAACACTTGGAAAACCCTTCTTACTGCGATCGAATCAAAACAAGAAGTGACGTAGAATCTACATTTAGTGTCTCTTCTGATTGGTCGGTAAAATTACCCCCTATCGATCGCTCTAATATTGACACAAAATTGAAACACGGATAAAAACGGATTGATTAACCAGCTCAAAGTACAAACTCAAAACTTCATTACATTAGTACATAAAAATCATTACATGAGTACATAAATGCTATTATTTACAATAATGCAGTTTTATGTTCTCCAGTGTAATTTAACTAATTTTACAAGTTCACTGAAGCTAGTTTTTTGCACACACTTCTAAATTTATGTAGACCATATCACATCCATATTAAAGTAACGCATACACAAAGTTTGATGGATGAATTTGTCATTTATTATACATGTATAAATGACGACAGATAATGAAAAGATACATCAGATAAAGGGGAGATCACTCTTGAAAAAATGTGTAAATTTGTACAAAACATTAGTTGATCTCCCCAGTGTAACATAGTACATGTAGAAAATCCAAATAAACAATCCAGAATGTAAAAAATAACAATCAGCAAAAAAGGTGGCAGACAAAAACTGCCAAAGTCTTTACAAGCATGCAATGTTTGTACACACTGCCACCCAAAGTGAACTTGTATTACGAGGACATACATTATAACCAGTTTTCCTATTACATGTATAATTAGAAATCAACTTAAAATCACCTAGTAGTAATAATTTTGCACATTCAAATCTGACTATTGCATGATGTACTTGATCAACTCAGAGGTAGGCAAATTTTTTTTCTTGGTAACAATTGCAACACCAAGGTTACATATATTTGATAATGACCGATATTAACATGTATGTTAGAATGTAAGTTAAAGGAGTCTGGCTCAAAACATGTCTACAAAATGCAATTAAAAAGACAATTTTTGGTGTCGCAATACCCATACTTTAAACCTTAGCTATCACCTATTAAACATAAATGGATAACCACATATGTGTACGATACATGATATTCTCCAAACATCAGCAGACAACTTCTGGCCTAAAGTTGAACTTTACCCAATATACAATTCGTGATAATTTTCAGCAGACAACTTCTGGCCTGGAAGTTGACTTCATAAAACCCACAGTTCTTGATAGACCTCAGCAGACACCTTCTGGCCTGAAGGTTTAACTTCACAAAAACTACACTTTATGATAGATTGCAGTCGACAATATGATTTTCAGCAGACACCTTCTGGCCTGAAGAGTCAACTCAACGAATTTCTAAAAAAGTAAATCCCACAATGCCTATAAGCAATTGACTTGTCAGTTACAAATGAAAGCTTTCTAATCTTATTCTTTTTAATTGCATCCGAATTCCATCTCCCTATTTTTTGAATAGATTTTTTCTGAAAATCCCAATTTTGCATTATCATTTGCTGCATCAATTCGAAAGCTATGCCTTTCCTATAGTTTTTGATTCGGACCAATGACAGATACTGCTTAATTTAGATGTTTATTTACAAATGAATGAGACACTGGTTGACCACAATGAATTGACCACCTAAATTCTTTTAATAAGAACAGATTATGATGGATCTGCAAGATTTTTTATTTTGTGTATAAACCCTATTGCACATGTGTGGGATGAAATGCTACTAGTTGAGTATTTGTTGGCAAATAAATGAGTAATGAAATTGCATAAAACTGTTGGTGAAATAGGTATTAGTCAACTGAAACCGCTGACCAGACTTAAAAATCTTCCAGCTTCATTGAAATTAAGATGCTCTTTTGCTATTTGATAAAGATGCATTCAAATTGCTTTAAGCCACTGGTGTTTACATTATCAAGAGATGATGTGGTATTGATGCTTGTTTTTAGAAAAGGTGAAATGTTCCCCAAGACTGAAGCCAAATCTACTGACCCAGAGGCATCTGTGAAAAGTGTGAGGTATTGCAAAGATAATCATCGGTAGGAAAGAAGTATATATTTCCCATTGTAATACTCAATGAAATAATACCAAGTGTCAAGAGCTGTCCTTGCTTCAGTCAAAAGTGAGTTTATTGTAAAGAAATAGGTTTTTGGTACTCTCAAGTTAAACTTGATTGATCGCATTAGGAATGCCCTTCCAGGAACTACTTACGTATACAGCACATGCAAGACTAAGCAGACAAATAAAAGACTGCATACTTTCTTCATAAACCTAGTATCATTCAAATTTATGTTTACTTTAAGTAATTCAGCCCCAGGCAATCAGTTTTCCAAAGCAACAGAGCTATTTTGATAGCATACTTGCAAATGTACTATGTAGTTGAAGGAAATGTGTTTTTATCATCTTTAATTTGGACACGTACAAACACATTGTTATACCAATGCAATATATTCTTGAAATGGTTGTACCAATAAAAAGAAATTATCTACCAGGTAATATGTGAGATATTCCTCCTGCTAAATAATTTAATGATCTCATCAATTAAACATAGTGCCCTCAGAGTCCTAGAACACCTGAATTTATGGAAACATTTCTGGGATAAGCCAAAGTAATAGATTATCCTAAATTTCCTGGATCTGATTTTGGAACAACATCTTATGTTATGGGGATGACCCGAAAATCAATTTCATTAAAAGGTTTCTGATTGAAAAAAGGGGCCACCTATCCTACCAAGTGAAGAACTGTGTTCCACGTGTTTTTGTATTACCTAACCATGTAATTTACACATTTTCTTAACCAGTGAAAGATACTATAATTGATGAGAGGCGTCAGTTGGAAATTTCTCTAAGTAGATACAAATGAAAACTTAAAAGGCATTTGTCTATTGTTTACATTAAAAGAGGGATACTTAAGAATTCTACTGTTCAATAATTGTAACTGAAGTCACTGTCCAAGTGAAGGAATTATTTTCATGATTTGGCCAGAAACTTCTTCACCCATATTTACCCAATCCCTTTTATTTTTGACTGAAATTGATGCTCCTAAGGGATGCCATCAGATAAAGAAATGAGATTGTCCATTTTTTGATATGTTCCTCTGAACATGTACCTTCCAATACACTGGTCACCAATTTCTCCACTGAGGCATCTTGACTTCCTGACACAGTGTCCAACCCTTATTGTCCTGTTTGATGACCTTTCAGTATTTTGAGTAGCTATCGGGGTTGTCTGGATAGTGCTCCGAGTAGATGGAGGGGATGCCTGAATAGTGCTCTGTGTAGGAGGGGTTGCCTAGGGAGTGCTCGGAGATGAAGTTGGCTTACTAGTTCTGCTAGGAATGGTCAACCTGACTCCTTGCTGCTCGTTGTTGACTGATTTTGTTGTTTTCGTACCTCAGCAGCGAGTCTTTCATAATCACTGTTTTTCACCAGTTTTCGACTTTTTTCGTGTGGATTCCTTCCTTTCCATGTATCTTTTGACACCATACACCTGCTTCTCTTTGACATATTTCCTGCAAAAAATCTAAAATGTGTCAGAACATAGCAATTGCCAAGTGTTCAAATAAACTTTCTTAGTTGCAGCAGTTTTAAAAAATTGTCAGAAATAAGTATCAAATATAACAAGCCAAATAAAATGCTTGAATATGTATTGAATGAACTGCTGATATATGATTCAAATTTTTATCAACCTGTATTGATTTGATATGTATGACTAACAATGCACCATATATTGCGATTTACAATGCATACCTCATTTGATCATTTTGTATACACTATATATGTATGCCTAACAATACACATGCCAGTGTGACCTATAATGCATGCCAAAGATGAAAACTGCATATTAGGCATATGTGTACATCGACGTAAAAGAAAAGTCTGACTGACAATACACATTAAACAGAATACAATGCACATATATATCATGTATGACATACAATGCACACTGAAGTGAGACTTATAATGCATACCCAGATAAGCCTCAACAATGCATACCTTGCATAATATATACATTGAAGTAAAAAGATAATATATGACAGACTATGCACACTAAGGTGACTCACAATGCATATATCATATGTATGACTAATAATGCACACTAAAGTGTGGCTTACAATGCATACCCAGTTATGTTTCAACAATGCATACATGAATTATGCAAATATATATGTTGAAGTAAAGAGATATGACTGACAATGCATACTAAGGTGACTTACAATGCATATATATCGCATGTATTTCTAAGAATGCTAACTAAAGTGTTACTCATAATGCATACCCGGTAATGTTTCAACAATGCATAATATGCATATATATGTTAAAGTAAAGAGATATGACTAAAAATGCACACTTAGGTGACTCTGAATGCATATATCACTATAAAAAAATTGTCGAAAAGCTCTGTTCTTGTCTTTGTTTTACCTCAATCAACAATCAATTGTTATAACCAAATAAGACTTTTCTTGGTATGAATTATCTAATTAATTGCATCAAGAACTAATAGGGGTAAGCATAAACTAATATTTGAAGATATCCAACATGCTAAACAAACCGAATTTGATTACATATTTTGTAAGTTTTTCTTTGGGAAAACTTCCACTACATTTTGAGAAAAAAGACATTATCATATATTTTCAATTAGGACAGGGGTTGAATTTCGACCCCAAATAAGCCCTACAAAAACAAAATCACTCATATGTATGTCTAACAATGCACGCTAAAGTGCAACTTATAATGCATACCAATGGTTTTGTTTCAATAGTGCATAAATTTATATTTTTGAATTATGCATTAAATAAAAGACTATATAACTTATACATTCAAGTGACTCACAATGCATATCGCTTTGTATGACTGACAATGCGTACTAAAGTGTGACTTATAATGCATACATTTAAACTCATATGACTTACAATGCACACAATAGTGTGGCTTAAAATGCATACCTTATAAACTTGTATGACTAACAATGCACACAATAGTGTGACTTATAATGCATACCATATAAACTCGTATGACTAACAATGCACACTTAAGTGTGACTTATAATGCATACCTTGTAAACTTGTATGACTAACAATGCACACAATAGTGTGACTTATAATGCATACCATATAAACTTGTATGACTAACAATGCACATTTAAGTGTGACTTATAATGCATACCATATAAACTTGTATGACTAACAATGCACATGACAGTGTGGCTTATAATGCATACCTTATGAATTTGTATGACTAACAATGCACATAATAGTGTGGCTTATAATACATACCTTTATATCAACTTGTATGAATAACATTGCACATAACAGAGTGACTTACAATGCATACCCTTAACTCACCAATTTGCACAAACAAATGGGAAATTTGTCCCCTCATCAATTACAAAAAGCTAAATTATCTCTGCACCCCTACAATGCAGAGCATACTACATGTAGTAAGAAGATAAAGAGCATACTAAGACATAACATGAACAAAGTGTGCATGTCATTTCATAAGTAAATAACTTTCCCTTATACCTATATTAAAAGCTTTCCATGATATAATGACATTTTGTCAATTAAAAAATGAAATTAAAGTAAATGTCACTTGACTTGTAGACTATATAGAGATCTATCATAAATTTATTATATTACTGATTTGGAGTTCTACACTGTGACACCAAAACAATATCATCATGGATTAAAGGTACTGGAAGAATTATTTATTCTAATAGTTAATTATTGCTTCCATTGAATATGAATTACATGGAATATTTATGAATTACTAGCCTTGTCAATGGCATGGCATAATACTGCACTCCTCAAATACTCTCTAATTGGAGCTGATCTATGGTTATTACAGGCAATGTGCAAACCATCCGGCTTTAGGTATGACAGGTCCCTCCAAAAATTAATGACAATTAAGAGAGATTGCCCAAGGCTGTCTTCGCAGCAGTAATTCTATGATGACACGCCGAATTCCGACTCCCAAGTGTGATAACGAGCTATCGACAGAATACATCGGGCACTCTGAGGCAGACACGCGGTGGGGGCTCTGCTAATGTAATTCAACCCCATGCACTGCACAAGTATTAGTTTTCGTGTCATATATGCATATATTAGACCTCCTTTAAACCCAATGTCCAACATGAAAATTTTACAATCCAGATTTGATTTGCACACATCACAATTAGCATTCATAAAGTTCCAAGAACACTCAATGCCTATAGAATATACATGTACGAATGTCCCAGATGGCGCACACTCATTATCTCCTTTGCATTCGTCCTACAAGAGGGAACTTCGGTCGCTACCTAGGCATTGATGGATATACGTACATGTATGATTTGACAAATAAACAACTGTTCACAAATACTTCTGTATCGCACTTCTATTTTTCAAATAAAAAATCGATCGCAAACAAGAGTTTCAGTTTGTAAAACTCCAACACTTGGAAACCCTTCTTACTGCGATCGAATCAAAACAAGAAGTGACGTAGAATCTACATTTAGTGTCTCTTCTGATTGGTCGGTAAAATTACCCCCTATCGATCGCTCTAATATTGACACAAAATTGAAACACGGATAAAAACGGATTGATTAACCAGCTCAAAGTACAAACTCAAAACTTCATTACATGAGTACATAAAAATCATTACATGAGTACATAAATGCTATTATTTACAATAATGCAGTTTTTTGTCAGTTGAAGCATTTTTTTATGTTGTTACTACAAACTTTCTTTTTTTCCGCGGGGTCATAATACCGCGGAATCACAATTTCTGTTTAATCTGCGGGTAGAAAATTACACGGATCCCTATATGCCTTACATTAATATAAAGTACGCTTGGACAAATTTCCCCAAAAAATTGGTGACCGCGTACATAGCGTTGACTAATACCACGCGGAAAAAGTACTTCTACAGTATGTCTACAATTATTGTTTTATTCATTTCTAATCATCAAGCCATTTAAACTCAAGTCTGATAAATGTTTTTGTCAATTTTTTTTCTGCAAGTATTGCTCAATGTCTGGTTCTAAAGGTTAATTACAAGGCCCAGTAGAAAGCTACTTTGTCCAGTATACGTACATTGTAACTGCATAATTCACTTCTATGTTTATAATATTTCAGTAACATGTAGACTCCTTTATCAGCGATCCTGTCAATTTACCCATATTTATACCCGCACTTTCTAAAGAAAGTTCGGGTATATTGTTGATACTCATGTCCGTCCGTCCGTCCGTCTGTCCGTCCGTCCGTCTGTCACACTTTTCTTCCCTGAACTCCTCTTACATTTTACACAGTACTTAGCTTAATCATCTTTTGGAAGATGGTTGGTGGTGTCATGTAGATGTGCAGTAAGGTTTCGGAATTTTTATTTTGCCCCGGGGGGTAAAATGGGGGTCGAAAAATGACATTTTTTATGCAAAAAGTCCCGTCTTCCCTGAACTCTTTTTACATTTTACTCAGCAGCCTAATCACCTTTTGGGGGATGATTGGTGGTGTCATGTAGATGTGCAGTAAGGTTTCGGAATTTTGATTTTGGCCCGGGGGGTCAAATGGGGGTCGAAAAATGACGTTTTTTATGCAAAAAGCCCAATCTTCCCTGAACTCCTCTTACATTTTACTCAGCAACCTAATCACCTTTTGGGAGATGGTTAGTGGTGTCATGTAGATTTTCAGTTAGGTTTTGGAATTCTGATTTTGCCCCCGGGGGTCAAATGGGGGTCGAAAAATGATGTTTTTTATGCAAAAAGCCCGTCTTCCGTGATCTCCTCTTACATTTTACTCAGCAGCCTAATCATCTTTTGGGAGATGGTTGGTGGTGTCATGTAGATGTGCAGTAAGGTTTTGGAATTTTGATTTTGCCCCAGGGGGTCAAATAGGGGTCAAAAAATGACGATTTTATGCAAAAAGCCCCGTCTTCTATGAAATTCTCCTACATTTTACACAGTAGCCTAATCATCTTTTGGGAGATGGTTGGTGGTGTCATGTAGATGTGCAGTAAGGTTTCGTAATTTTGATTTTTCCCCGGGGAGTCAAATGGGGGTGGAAAAATGACGTTTTTTGTGCAAAAAGTCCTGTCTTTCCTGAAGTCCTCCTTAATGTTACTCAGAAGCCTAATCATCTTTTAGAAGAGTTAAATATTTTGAAAATTATGTAAAACAACAACGTTAAAGGGTATAAAAGCATCGCATGCTGGGAAACACCTTGAATTTTTATGAGTAATTAATGTACATGTCAAATGTGAGAGTCATATCTCATCTCAATCAAAAGTTATAAGCAAATGCAACATTTTTGAAAAGTAGGTTAGGCTTCAAGGTCAAGGTCACAGAGTAAAAGTCATGATTAATTTGGAAAGGTCTTATCACAGG